CACTAGAGGGCATTAGTGGGGCAGGCTATTGATGTCATTCGCATGAACTCGCATGCGTTCGTTATAGGTATAAATATACCCATAAATAAAGTATAGAAGCCCTCTTTTATTCTATTTACCTTGTTATGACGTTATGGTTGACATTATAGAGAGAGACTCATGAAAATCGTGTTCATTTTGATGCAAGCTTTGTAGCAGAAAATGTACGCCATTTACTCGTATACTCTTAGCTAGGTAATCAAGGCCTATTAGGGTATATTTATTAAAAATAAAGAAGTTAATTTAGTTTCCCTTCCTTTATATGCATCTCTTCATCGTTTGTCATGCTAGTTTGAAAGAATTTAAATTTCTTTCAACGTCATCTGCTTGTTTACGACAATAGAACAAAACCATAATCCTTATGACATGTCTTATTATAACAACAACAATATTCAGTTTGCGTCTTCTCTTCATATTGGACAGGAATAAATTGAGACGTGAGTGCGTAAGCCTCTTAGACAGGTAATTTGTAATGTATGCTAAATTTATATCCATTCAGAATCAGCTGTTATTGAGAAATGTATTGTTTTACGTCACAATTATCAGTGTAGGCGTTACGTCATATATCATTCCTTTACTTTAGCGAACTCCTTCTAAATAGGTCCCGTATAGTTGTCAAAGTGGAGGATCATGACCTTTGAACTTTATAATTGTCCCCATGTGTAGAGCATCCTTTAAATTTCAGCATTCACTCAAATCGAATTGAGTTTTCCATATGATAAGAAAATTTCGAAGCGAATACCTAAAAAGAGATTTTATATGTATAATTTGTGTCCCACCAGGGTATAGAACCTAGAACTCTCTTATAATGCGAACAGCTATGGACTGGAATTCACTGTCTGCGACTGTCTTTTTCGTGCATTACAATCCAGGCTTTTTCAAGGTGAGAGTGAATAGGCACATACAGGACTGATATGTACCAGTCTAGGAAGACTGCATCTCATATTGGTTTGATTACAGTCAAATACCTACTTAGCTGAATAAAAAAAACTCTGTCTCAAATACAATAGGTACGCAACTTTTTACTGATCACTCCGTGCTACAGGCATCGGCGTGTATTGTAATTTGGAAGTAAAGAAGTAAAGTTGTGTGTTCGGACGAAATCACATCAAACTAAATACAGGTAGCGTCTTATCTCGTTGTAATACAGGCTTTTTATTCATCAAAAATGTATAGTATGACGTGCAGACGACTGTACGAGCATTACTCAAATAATAGTACAGCGAGCGAGAGCCGAATTATTTTCCCAACAGAGAAGCGAACGGGAATATAAAGTTGGTTGTGAATGCAGAAATTAATTCACTGCCCCGCATAAGAAACTGAATTAAACCACTGAATCCTGGCTTTCGTTTTTAGGGACCCGTACAAAGTTTCGCAAAAATGAAACCCTTATCACTAAGGCCCAGAACAGACGTTGAAACGCAACTGCAACGAGACTGCAACTTTCTGATGATTCTTATGAATGAAACTGAAACTGAAAGTTTCAAACTGGTCGCGTCATGTGTGGTCTCTCAACAGACGCTATGGCAGAAACTTAGATGCCACTCAAAAGTAACTAGCAGTTGCAGTTTCGTTGCAATTGCGTTTCACCGTCTGTTCTGGGCTGATCAGGTAATTTTCATAAAACTACTTTCATCATCATCATCAATATTTCAGCCATAGGACGTCCACTGCTGAATATAGGCTTCCCCCAATGATTTACACAATGGCCGGTTGGTGCCTTCTTCTTTTAACACTTCTTTGATGACTTGAAAAAGTAGATATTGAGGTGGTTTTATGTTGTGTTTGATGATAATTTGATTAAGGCCTAGTTCAGACAAATGATATTCGCGCGGTTGCTGGGCAGTTCTCGTTTATTTGCATATACTCGTAACCGCACGGTTACCATCTTAGGCTGGGTTGCACCATTTTATTTTAATTTTGAAAAACGTCAAAAATCTGTCAAACTCCATACAAAAAACACCGGTTATCGTCAAAGTTACGGTAAAAGTAGGTGGTGCAACTCAGCCTTAGTGTCTTGCCAATAAGAACCACCCAAAAACCGCGCGATTATCGCGCGTGTCTGACGACTACCAACCTAAGTCTCCAAAGTAATAAATTGTCTATCAATCACATAGTATCAATATATTTTTTGTTAAAATATACGGAACTCTTTGCAAGCAGACCCAACTCGCACTTTGCAAGTTTTTGTATGTTAATATTGTTGTTGGTTAGGTAAGTTGGGTTTACCTTAGCAATATCTACACCCAACAAGCGAAATGCTTCATTGGAAAGCTAAATAATGTGAAATTGCTTAACTACTTATATTGCAATAGCTACAAAGCAAAATAAATAGTTTGTGAGTTTCCAATTCATACAGGCTTAGTTAAGTATAGGCGAGCTTGGTTGACATTAAAAGATACGAATAGGCTTGTCACTATCATGCACTATCATCTTAAGCATGTACGTACACGTACACACACGGGTGGGGCTCGCTCGCCTTCGTGAGTTGCTTAAGAACTAAGCTCAAGAACTGTATTATTTGCTGTGGTGGTTGTAATTTTTAAGTATTGCATGAGTAGATATAAGTAGTATAGTGTAGTAATTAGCAGGAAACACAATAAATGCTCGGGCTAGGTGGCGCCATCTTGCTGTAACTCTAATAATCTTCAAAAATCTATTAAATTCCATACAAAAAACACCCAGTTACTGCTATGGTAACGGTTGAAGTAGGCTGGTGCAACTGAGCCCGAAAACAAAAAACTAAGGACGAGAACTATTGCCGACAAACTGTAATGCAGTTTGGCAATTGTATCTTTATATTTGATGTGTATCCTTTTGTGAACAATAACTAAAAAAAATAAAAAAAACTAAATGGCTGAATAATTACGAAATTATACGTATTTTACTGAACCTTAGTACCAGTAAATATAATATTGTTTCAAAACTCGTCAAGTCTTGGTAATCTTATCAAAAATTATAACATTGGCAATCATAACATTTTTCAGTTTCAATTCCAAATATTTTCACAATTTTATAACTGTCCATTTCTTTATCATCACAATACAGAATGGTGTTTTAAATCCAGTCTGAACTAGGATTTAAAAGCTGCCCAAGTAATTACAATAATGTCAAGTTTAAGTTGAAACCTGGCTATTCTGTTATCACGACAGCTCGACGAGCCGTGCCATCGGTTGGCTTAGGCTGTCTACTCTTGGAAATGAAAAGATCGTAAAACGTACCTAGATTTTCGTTATTTATGATCCAGTCACAACACATTTTGATACGTTTACATAGGTACACTGGCCTGCACAAAAGTAAGTATCACAGTTTTAAAATAGCAATAACTTTGAAAGTTGGTAGGTATAAAAGATATACTTCCAAAATTAAAGACTTGAAAAAGAGTTTATTAGTTTATAAGAAAGCTGAAAAATTTTGCTATTTAAGGTTTTTTTTTTAAAATTTCTGCCTTTTAGGAAAAAATAAATTGTAAAAGTGTAGAACTTAAACTTACTTTTGCAGGCCAGTGTAGGTTAAGTGTTTTTTTCAGCTTAGAAAGTATGCTTTATTGCAATACTAGAGTTTGAGAGAGTACTAGAGTATGAGTATTAAGCGTCCTACCACCTGGTCCCTCGTAATTCATACGTTAAATGAACACTCAGAATTCGTGTAAAAATATAAGGTATTTTAGGAGCACCATTTAGGTACGACAAAGCTTTGAGATTTTAAAAGCACTTTCTTGTTGAAATCACTTATTTTTTTGTGAAGAAATGAAAAAAACCTTTGGGCCTGACGACTTGAAACGTTTATTTTTGGTATTAGATAATTTGTTTATTTTTTGAACATTTTTAAGTTTTTCTGGATGATCAATTATCCGAAAATAAGATTGTTTTAGATTTCCCTTTCGTACTTTTGAAGCTCTATTAAATAATACAAACCTTAATTGACGTAACAACATATTGTAGACAATTAATAAATTCAGACAATTAGGAAAAGTATCTCTGCCCTAGGATATAAAATAACCTGCTTTGTTCAGTATTGAGTTCAGTAGATAAATAATAATAAGAATTCAGAAATATAATGAGTAAATGTGTAGTATGACATGTCAGAATAGCTTAATCCACCATAATCAATATCTGTAAGCAATGCAAAGACAAAGAGAAACCCGCTACACGTCAATGGGACCGATGCGAGACAATATCGGACAAATAGCGCGAATAAAACATATTGGCCAAACCCCCGGAGACAAACAGCTTAGCTCGAGCGTACACGGAACGATTTTAGTCGTCGATAAACTAAACTGTTTTTTCTTTTCTGAAACTGTTCTTGAAGTTGGGTATTTTATATTTCGTTTAAATTGCAATCAGTTTAAGCTGAGACCTGCGTTATTAGACTTACCTACCTTGTATGCGAAATTGGAAAATTATACATAATTATTCATATTCTTGTGATATGGAATCCAAAAGCTCAAAAATTGATTTAGTCATAAACTGTCTTCATTATAAAAGACAATTATCTATCTTGTTTCGCACAAGATCTTAATTTACCTTCTGTAAGTTTAATTTCTATTTAGAATTTTGTTCTTGTATTTTCATCATAGCTCTATAATTCAAATTTAAAAGCACTTTACTCGTATTTATCGCGACTAAAAAATAAAAGACGGTGTTTTAGGTTTTAATTAATATCGTACAGTCGACAGCACTTAAGACTTTATGTACATTTTTATGGCAAAATAGTGTCTATTACAACGTGATAAGATGCTCGACTTTTCTTAATGTACCGTTATCTGTATTTAAGAGGGGTGATTTATTTCTGTCACTAAGCTAAGAACACCTAGTTTACTCGTATACACTTGAATAGTGAGTTGATAAGTTAGAAGTTTTTTTAAGTCAAAAGGTTACTTTTTTGTCACCTCCATATTTTATAGATGAATGAAAATGTAAAATGTTATTTTTTTATTAACTTATCGTGTATTTTTCTAGGTTTCCTCCTAGGAACACTGAAGTTAATGCAGCGGGCATCCTGCGATGATGACGAGGTAGCCTTGGCGTGTCCAGCCACCACCACCATCAGCATACAGGTGGCTCAGTACGGGAAGGCGAGCAACAACTACATGTGCGACACAGGCTTGCCCATCGTGGAGGATGATGAGAACTGTCTGTGGCCTAATACTATGCAGGTAAAACTATAGAACTTTAAAATTATGTCGGATTTAATTAACTGATAGTTACCAAACAAAGCACAATAATTACATTTAGTAAAATTCACGAAATTATGTGTCAAAAAGATTACTATTATAATGATAATAGGGCTATAAATTCAATAGAGTTAGAGTAGGCGCACACCGTTGATTTTTCGTCAGCCGATAGTTTAGTCGGGCAGTTGATCAGTATGGGCATGTATGGGAGTGCGCACACTACGCCGATTCGATTTGGCCGATTCTTCATACAATTTAAAATCGGGCACAACTACTTATCGGCCAACTAAATATCAACGGTGTGCGCCTACTCTTAGAGTTGGATAACGATCAAAATATCAAAATAAATACGTGATTGTATTGTGGATAAAGAAATTAACTCTGGATAAAATGTGAATAGCTTTACTTCATCCATCTCTATCGCATCCTCACAAACTTAAGTGTTGGCGTTGGTAATATTAGTTAAAGTATAAATATTATTTAATAAAAGATACATTGCATTTTCAGTTCTATCGTTCCTACAAATATGCGAGCCTAATATTCTTCCAATTCTTCATACAAAAGCAATCCTATGTAAGGGATTCAGTTAAAATTAGGAAGCTAAGATGACACAATAAATAAAGTTAAATGTAGTCTCTAGTCTAGTCGTAGTCTCTACAAGAGATAAAATTAACTTTGCGTTAATAATCCAAAGTGAAGAAGCACTTCGAAAGAGCCTCTACCCCTCTACATTAACGTTTCGTTTTCTACCAGACCGATACAAGCGTAAAGCTAAAACTTCACTCATTATTCAAATGGAGCTAGTTGCTAATTCAGCCGTTAAATTATGTAGGTAAATCCGTGGCAATATACATTACAGTTTAGATAAGCTATTGATCCTTGCCAAAGTCGTCTGTCGGTCTGTGGATCCGTTCATTGATATGCAATGAAACGGCACGGATGCGTGGGGTAATCGTAGCGGTGAGTAATGACCGGTTTAGGGGATACCTATAACTTGGTATACTCGTAGATAAAGATATTCTTCTTTTGTGGCATGTACAGACGCGTACATAAATATATTGGCAGTGCCAATGTTCCAAAATATTGTTAGACTGAGCTGCGCCACCTAACTTTAACGATAACCGGTGCTTTTTGTATGGAGTTTGACAGATTTTTGACGTTTGTTAATGTTAAAGTATGATGGTGCTACCCAGTCTTAGCGTTTTTAACGATCATTTAATTAAATACAAACTCAAACATAATTAATAAAATGTAATCATAATATAAACTGTTCATAAACATTTTGCGGTAGCCCAGTATTGACTGCATTACTGCGCTACAGTATTTTGAAATATTGGCATTGCCAATATATTTATGAACTCGACTGTACCTTATTTAACTATTGTGTGGAAATCAAATCGTAATTTTTCCCATGTTTTCTAACCGTTTAAACCTTCCCTGGACTCATAAATTCAAAACCAAAATCTGCCAAATCGCTCCAGCCGTTCTCGAGTTTTAACGCAAAGAAATTAATTTATATTATAAAGGAGATTTGTGTCAAGATTATGTTTGTAATATTGTGATATTTTATCAAGTGCATCCCTCTTTCGACGTAACGTTCCTTATTTACGACGAGCTGGCTAAGTACACTATAAAAACCGATGTATGTAAAACACTCTACACGGATGTCGTGAATTAAAAAACAAATTTCTTGTATTAAGATGGAAGACCCAAAGAATCTTTTTTATTTAACTCTCTCTTATCTCCAAAGATGCTGACCACTTGTCTAACCCACTAACCGTGTTTCTTATAATAGGCTAGATGACAAAATTTCAATTATTTGTCCGAAAGACAGATAATTAGAAAATATTAGACTCATATTTTTTATTTTCTTTCATAATTAAATAATAACAGTGCTACATCGAGTTGAAATGGCGCATTACGTCACGCTTGACTAGATTTTTTACTCAAAAGTGACGTCACGCGACATTTCAACTCAATATAATCTGTAATCATTCGATTATGGAAAAAAATCAAAAATATGAGTCCAAATTTTTTTTATTCTGTCTGACGGACTAAATAGAATTTCTATTTCATTACCCAGTCATCATCCCTATTGTCTGTTTGGTCTAATGTACAGTAAAAAGATAAATTATACACACATTATTAGATAGTAAGATAAGTAATTAGTTAGGTATAGCATAGCCAACTTTAATCATTTAATTTCTTTCTCAGACTTCTTTTTATTTCAGCTTTGTACGTTAGGGCTTCTTGAGAAAGCCTAAAAGAACGTTAACCGCCACTTTTAATTTTATATTCATCTCAGGTAGCTCAGCTTTATTCTGTTTCGTGCTCTACTGCGTGTAAAATATATACAAAAAAACTAAGGCTGAATTACACCACTTTCTTTTAACACTAAGAGTAGGCGCACACCGTTGATTTTTAGTTGGCCGATAGTTGTGCCCGATTTTAAATTGTATGAAGAATCGGTCAAATTGAATCGGCGTAGTGTGCGCACTCCCATACATGCCCATACTGATCAACTGCCCGACTAAACTATCGGCCGACGAAAAATCAACGGTGTGCGCCTACTCTAACCGGTGTTTTTTGTTTGGAGTTTGACAGATTTTTGACGTTTGTCAAAGTTAAAGTAATGGTGCAACTCAGCCTAAAAATGATGTAATACAAGTTTATGTTTTGGATAAATAATACAAAGCCGACATTGTTTTCGTTAATTATTTTCAGCAATTTTCAGAGTAAAATTTGACTATAGATTTTAATGTAAGTTGACCGCAGCGCGGGAATGTTTTAATATGTCCTGGACAATAGCTCATGCAAATGAGTATAAAAACCTCATTAATGATTACAAAAACCTGTGAATTGGACAGTTTTTGTGCAATGTGCACATCTGTACTCTTGATGTATTATTAAACTTGCAGCCTGACGCTATAATATTAATAAAAACATATTAATAAAGTAATGACAATTTCTCTCTAGCTTAGTGGTTAGTGTAACAAAATGCCTTACATATTGGATAGAATAATTTCTATACCTATTTGTATGAACAGTTTTAAATACTGACCTTCTTTCTTTTATCAAAATATTAAATTACTTTTTTTAAATGCCTGATGCGATTGCACACGGCTGCCTCCTCGGCCGCGCGACACTGGCCACTAGGAAAAATAAATTCTTTTTGCTCGAGCAATATTGATGCTCTTTTGTTTTTTTCCCGCTCTCGACTCTTGAATTTGCACGCAATACAATCTAGAAGTTTAGTCTCGATTCTAGTAAATAGTAATTATTGTATATTTTATTCACGTTTTTACCACATAACGATTATTACTTATACTAACTACGGAACCTCGAAGCACATTTACACAAGATTTAGGCCCATCAAGCCACTTTATTGGGGGAGGCCTTTATTCAGCAGTGGGCGTCCTATGACTGAAATGATGATGATTAATCATCATCATAACTAAAATGCCTATTAACACAATCTTTTCCCACCAGTACTCGCTGCTACAAACAGTCGTGGAGGCGTGCCAGAAGAAACCGGAATGCAAGTTCAGCACCAAGCCAAGACCAGGGCTGGAGGACCCATGTCCTCATACTAGGAAGTTCGTCGACGTGGCTTACAAGTGCAGACCTTGTGAGTATTATAATAAGGTCTTAATTTGGAGTTTATGGTGAATTTAAATTCATTTATTTAGTGTCTTCATTCATTGTAGTCATTTCTTTTTCATAGGATTTTCTACCGATATTAATGACGTTTCCTAGAGCATCATTTTAAAGCATAATGTATAAGACTGAAATTTCAGATAAATAGAAAAATTCCATACTTTCGTACTCTCTCTCCCTTCACTCACCCTGAGAAGATCCCATGAGAGGGTTATAAGTCTGAAAATATGGAAATAGTGATTGAATTTGAGATCGTGATATTTTGTTTAAATACATTTTTATTTTAAATTGTTTTTTATGAGTTTACAACGTGGAGCGTGAAAACTAAGTACATAGGCAGGCAATATAATATCAGACCGCCTTTTAACCGCCTCTATGGTCTAGTGATAAGACCACCTGCTTCAGACGCAGAGGTCCCGGGTTCGATTCCCAGTGGGGGCAGATTTTTCTGTTCGGTTTGGGTAGTGGTAGAGCTTGTTCTAAGTCCGCCTGGCTAGCTACCACCATCTTACCTAAGTCTGTCGCCATAACAACAATGTTAACAGCATTGTTGTGTTCCGGCAGTTAGAGGTAAGAGTTCCTCCGTGGTTGAGGATTCCGGGTGAAGCTCGCTTCTACCTTCGCTTCGGCGTAATCATCACTTACCATCAGGTGAGATACAGGCCAAGAGCTTACTCGTTGTGGATATTAAAAAAAAGATATCTCGTCTACTCTAGGCTGTATATTAAGAAACTTTGTATACGTGTACCCTACTCGAATAGCTAACCGAAGCATACCATTATTCATTCAATACAATGAGTTATCGTCCACTAGTTTTGTTTTGATCACGATAGGAATATTTTCCGGATACGTATCAATAGTTTCGAATGATTAATGTTAGTGTATGCCATAATCACCTACTCAGCCGCCAACTCGGGATTGATAGTAAATGTTCTGGAGAAATAATTATTGGGCAATTGACACTATTAACGAATAATTTGACACAACTTCTCTCAAAGAACAATAAATGCTAAACCTGGAAACCTAATTAGTTCTTAATTAACTGTTGAATTTGATTTTATAACAATAAATGGTAAATCAATTGACACAGGGAAAAAGTGACGTCAAAACATATTATCTTTGCCATACAAATCTAGGTTTGCGTTTTGACAGTTTTTGAAAAGTTAAAGACGAAATTACCATAATTCAAACATTAGAGACATGGATTTAACACCTAATACAGTCACGTACACAAACGTAATACCTATGCGTAGCTTAATATTACCGTGACAAACAGGATTTGCTGTTTCTACCTCAAACAGTTTTAAACTTTAAAATTACCCAAAAAGGGTCACGACTCACGACACACGACAGGACAGAATATGATGTAATTCCGGACACAACAGCAGAATTCTCCGACCTACAATTTCCTATCATTAGTATGTACCCGAAAGTTGAAGCTTTGGGGAACAATCCGGCAGAAGGAATACATCAAAGTCCGCAAACGTGGGGTCGCGTTTGTTAATCGCACCGCTCTCGTCCGCAACTGTCGGCGATTACGTCGAATCGATTACGAGAGACGAGCGTTGGGTTTAAAAGAATCGATTACTCTGATAGTCGAGAGCGATGAATTTTAAAATAACTATTCGCAAAGCAACTGTGGATAGGAATAAAACTTGGACAGTAGGATTAATAACTAAAGTTGAATTAAACAAAGTCATATTTGTTAATCACACCGCTCTCGTCCGCAACTGTCGGCGATTACGTCGAATCGATTACGGGAAAAGAGAGAGTTGGATTTTACAAAATCGAATCGGAATAAAGCTACAATTTTTAAAAAGTTTTGGACTAACTTTACACTAAACTAACTAATTTCAATTCAGTGAATTGGACTATTTACACAGTTATTGTTAACTGAAGTAGAGCTTAAAGTTGAAAAAAAAAAACTGTTTCATTTGATATTTTGTGTAATTTACTAAATATCTAGTCCTAAATTAACAAAGTAAAACCTAACTATAAATTAAATGGGTGGTCTTTGTTTAACTTTAATCAATAAAATGAATTCAGTCCTATTTTCTAGTAACACTTTTCAAAGGAACAACATTAGATCCTGTCTTCACAAGATTCGACAAAAAACAGAGCATAACTAGGCTATCAACCGTTTTATCAAAACTAAGTACACAAACAGCCCGACTCCCTTTGTAAAGTCGCTAATTGCTTTCAAAGTCTCAATTTTCACCGCAAAACTAGCTCCGAAGAGCGCAATTTGACCCAGCAAAAGGATACATCAAAGTCCGAACCATAGAGATCGTTCCAGGCACGCTGCTTCTATCCACAACCGTTGTACCGATTACAGCCGACTCGATTTGATTACCACATCGATTTAACGTTCCACGTTCGACTCGATCATTCGAACGTTCCGGCTCGATTTAAGAGATTTTAGCTCGTGTGATCATTTACAGAGTAATTGGGCGAGTAAGCCGGATTGGGTAGTTGAGAAGCCAATCCGTAATGAATGGTCAACATTTACGAGTAAGGTTTGAATGATGGATTCGCGGAATAATTACGCAAAATGCACTTCAGAAAGGCATAACTGACTCTCAAATAAACAATAACGTTCTGTGAATACTTTATGAGTACTAATTAGGTCCATGAAATTCACATGAAATATTAAATGCTCGATAATATGAAACATTCCTGAAGTCATTAATGAAAAATTTATTTATGTTAACTTAAAAGTTGTTGCTGGAGAGGAATTTGTGGCAAAATTAATTCTTGCAAAGTGATTTCGGTGAAGATAACTCATCAAATTTCATTGAAAGTCAAAATTAAATGTGTTTTATATGTGTGGCGATTTTCTTCAACATCTAATATACGAAAAAAAATCATCAGTCCTCATCTAATAGGATTCTGTACCGTCATAACTACCTACTATTTTTTTAACTTCCGAATTACGCAAGAAAAATAAGATTGTATTTCTAAAACACGTGTAAAACGTACCACCTCCGTTCCGCCTACTTATCACAGACAGTTATTATTAAGTACCTAATATTTGGCTGTATCAAAGTTAAAGTTAACAACACGTCATCTTGAACTGTCGAACAGCGAAATAACTTACGCTATCATCACTCGGTACTTAAGTAAATCACTTAGCCACCCTCGCGCCATGCCATTACAACCAGATAATAGCAGAGTATTACAAATGAGTAGGTTATCTTCATAGAAACGCCCGAGCGCGGTTTGTATGTGATCGCGCCAATACGTATGCGGCGCGCACGCACACACTGACAAAATTTAGCTGTGATTAGCGGTGNGTTTGTATGTGATCGCGCCAATACGTATGCGGCGCGCACGCACACACTGACAAAATTTAGCTGTGATTAGCGGTGAGTTGCCCCGAATTTTGTCAGTGTGTGCGTGCGCGCCGCATACTTATTGGCGCGCGCTCACATACAAACCGCGCTCGGGCGTTTCTATGAAGATGACCTACTCATTTGTATTTACTCTGATAATAGTAATGCCCTCGAAGCTAAATTCCGTATTGCGTGTAACTTTATGGGTGGTTCTGGCAGTGTGTTACTGTTGATCTTTGGAATACAACATTATTTATTCAGAGATAGTTTAACCCGCGGCTTCGCTCGCGTGAATTAACTAGCGTAGCTTTTTACTCGTGAAAAATATTTCGAAATCAGTTTCTTGGTCCCGACATTACTTTCTACAGATAAACTACAACATTAAAACAAATTTTTGCTCGCGTAGATTTCTTCAGTTTTACCAATGACTCCACAGCTCAGGAGTTTAGAAAATTTGGTAGAAGTGTCGCGGGTTCAAAAACCGGTCGATTTTCATCAAACCCAAAAGTCTTAAATGTTAGAACTGGAAATAAACTAGTTCCAAGAGGGCACAGGGACTATAATGCCAGGAAAATGTGCCGGGAAATAGGTAAGTAGGTAGGTAAATTATTTTATTGAATTGAAGTACCAAATTAAATATGTCTACACCACAATAATTTATTGATTGACTATGATAAAATAATTGTAAAGTATTGCAGCTCTTAATCGTAATTGAAATTCACGCACACTCTAAAAAAATGAAACAAATAAAAATATGGCCTGTCCAACACTAACACTGTCCATCGCTATAGAGCTGTGATTGTGTGCGCAAGTGATTTTTGATTGGTCACTACGGTGTTGCGTAGTGACCAATCAAAAATCACTTGCGCTCTAAAAATCACTTACCTAATATCACGAGATCGCCGGACGATACCGTGGCGCGCCTTTATGAGGGTCCTGTATCGGTGTGATTTACGTCACGTTAATAAATTCCTGGAGCACCATACCTGAGGGTGCGGCCAGGAGTGCCGGGGTGCGGCGCTCATTAGTGCACGGACGGGCGGGTGAAACGTGGGTGAAACGCCTTTGTTTGTGTTAAGTACTGCCAAGTACAGATATTGCGGCAAAAATGTTGGTTTGAATTTGGAACGCGGAAATGTCATTTTTATGATTGGTTTTTTTTATGCGGGACGTAAGCGAGCAGTTTAGAATCGACTGGGTCGTGACTATTATATTGATTATGTAAAGGTACTTCAACTCCTACTTTTTGAGGGAATGACTAGTTTATGTAGTTATCAATATTTTTATACGAACGAATCTTTTCTATTCTTGCTTAGCATTTTCGTCAAAATCTACGTCGACGAAAACGCGGGCAAAAACTGAAGCAAATCGAAAATTATTTAAAAAAAACCCCATTTCATAAAAATATACCTGCCCCTCACTTCCACATGCATCAAATCATCCATTTCCTGCGTTTTTACTGCCGTCACACGCCCGTCTGCACCGCCCCATTAATATTCCCCTACACGTTGAGCTACAATGTTCGGACACTATCGAATAATTGAAAAACGTACGCTAGCTTTTATCGTATTGATGGTTTCGGGTTGCTGTCTAATGGAAGGGAAGGGTTGTGGTATGTTTACTACTAATTTCGCTAAAAGAGGGCGCTTGTTACGAGAAACAAGAAGAGCCAGAATGCTAGAACAGGAAAACAGAACAGCCGCCATGAAAAGATCATAAGTGCCATTTGGGGTCTAAACTGAATAAATATTTTTTATTTTGATTTTGAAATAGTTTTTAATGAACGATTAACAATATAGTCCGATCTCTTAGAACTTGATAATGCCCTTAAATTAGTATTTATTTTTAATAGAAAAAAAAAAGATACTGAAGTAACTTAAGCCCGTATTCACAAATATTACTATGAGGTCTCACATTCCTCGTTGACGCACAGGGTAAAATACGAACCAGTCACAGAACTCTATTCAACGTTGTGCATTCGATTTGCTGCTTCACTTCCGGGCTAGGATGCACTTATGATAAAATTTTATCGACGATTTGCGACATCAAATAGCTTATCGTTTCAAATCGTTAAAATGCCAAGTTTATAGTGGCGCGACCGCGCGTATCCTGGGCCTAATAATCACTATATCCATTCTTGATTATAATCTTATTATACGAGTAGACAAGTTATTCATTTCACATCACTAGTGGTCTAGGCAATCCAGTATTAATGTTGATCGGGCTTATTTGTTTGTGTTGTGACTAGTTATTATTGGCGCGGACAGTATTATTGGCGTATTATTGCGGACTGAAGAAGAAAGATTTGTCTTGTGCCAAGACAAATAGGTAGAAAAAATAGGATATTAGTTTTTGTGATATGTACCTACTTATTTGTACGCGCGGTAGCCGTAATAATATACGGCATACCTACTTAGATTTTTATGCCCTATTTTGATTGCCTAGGCCTACTAATATTATAAATGTGAAAGGATGGGAAGATGGATGCATGTTTGCTACTCTTTCACGCAAAAACTACTGAATGGATTTTGATGAAACTTTACTGTATTATTGTCTCAACAGAAATATAGCATAGGCCATAGGCAAATTTATAACGATGTGACTAACTGAATTTTACGCGGGAAGAGCCACGGGCAAAAGCTAGTATTAAATATTTGTATTGCATTTTATTGACTGATAAAATCTCTAGTTCGAGTTGGGAGTGAATGATATCGACGAATGAGGGTTTTCACGATTAAAAAATCCGCCAGATGGCAATACGTAGACGGGAGGTCCAAATGCTGCATAATTGGTTATTTTTGACATGACATTGACAGATATGTTCACTGTCGTAATATTTGTTCGTAAGTCGCCTGATTAGATCAAATTTCACTGGGCTAGCTTATCAGTCCGGACTATGCCTTCGTTTTACAACTCATTTGGATAATAGAGGGCGCTGCCATCGCCCCCGGCTATTATGGCGGATAAAGTACAAAGCAATAAACTCTTTGACTCTTTACTTTGATGGTTATTGTCGCCTTTATAAGCATCCAGTGTTTTTATTGGAAATGAGTTTCAGTTTTGTTCGTTATTGTCTGTTTGTGGATGGGAATGAAGCGCAGTATTAATTATTAAAAATCGTTCTAACTTTGTAATATCTGCGAATTAGTTTGATTGTAATCTTCAATTAGAATTTTATTTAGGGGCATTGTCGAATATATTTCTAGGGCCTCTTTTAAACACTATTTTTAAGTTGTGGTGTCGGTGTGAGGTTCGGGGTCCAATTTTCATGTAGGAGATTACATATCGTATAAATGATCTTGATTTTGGTGCACTTTATGTATCTTTTTCTAGTTCAGTGAGGAGAAGCCACTCAATAGTTTATTAGTACGCACCTAATTGTCAACTGCTCGAAGCAAAATACGAATAATTTCTTCGAGGGCAAGTAGTCGATCTGAATAAGCCACGTTAATCTATATAAACGATCGCTCTGAATGAAAAGTCCGTTAGACTACGATTATAACGTTAGCTGCTTAAACCCTCAAGAGATGAAGATAGTCAAATTGGGACTCTATCTTATGTCACCTAAAGAATAAATTTCTTTACAGACGAATTCCGCAGCCGGACCTGCTGTCAAGATGACCATATCAAGCTGAGCTGCAAACCTTACTCAAGAGTGGCGATATTCGATGCTTTGTACGGCAGAAACGCGTACGAACCAATCACGTGCCATCAGACTGGAATGCACAATGAAAGTAAGATTTTTATAACTTTATGTTTCGTTTGAATAAACCTCTTCCCGGGCTAATTTGGAAAAGATGGACTCCTAACGATATGGCCGCATAAATTATGGTACCTACATATTTCAAGTTTTACTGTTACCGCTGCTAATGATTGTCAATTTTTTGTGTGGTAGGTGTACATTAAAACTGTCTAAGCTACCTAGTCCTAAAAACATCAGACAAATGTTATTATGTTTATGTACAAAAATATTTGAATTGTGCAGAAATCGAAACCGCGATCTTTGGAGCGATAAGAGTTCCCCATTTATGCGTCCCTAGGGGTAGGTATGCTCTAAAATGCAGTTTCATCGTATGAAAGTATTTTGGAATTATATTATTAATACTATTGTAATATAAAATAATACCCAGCCCAATTCAAGTACCGTATAAGTATACCTAAAGTTTTATTCATGTACTTATGGACGGAAACTTATTCAAAAAGTACCTATTACTATTTCAAAGACGTACGCTATAGGATTGACAAATCCCTGGAATCACATCAACTTCTCTACTAGAGCCGACAGCGATATTCCTAAAAAAGTAAAAGCTCCATTTTGTGAAAGGCACATCTTATCACAAGTTCAATCTTACCCAGATTCTCAGAACGCTTTGAATAATTTCAATGCCGCCTACAATCCTTAGAATTGCGAATTCATTGTCATATCAAATTCTCAGTATGCTAAATGATGAGGCCGCTTGTAAACTTTAGTTTTTTAGACCGAACTACGGCCCGATTTTTTCATCTGATTTCGCGGTGGTGTATGGTTTATAATGAACATGTGCACATGCATCGGACACAGGTCCGGCGAGAAAATTAACAGCAAACAAAGGATCCGTTTTTGACGGTTTGTCCGGTGAAAAAACGAATGTCTACAAACGGCCTACCGATACGCATGAAAAGATCAACATAATTATTATGTATGCATGAGCGTAGCATAAATTATGTAAGGGAACAGCGATCTTTAATTTGAACGCTAATTTCAAGAAATACAAACAGTTAAAAAAATAGATAGGTATGACAACAGAGCACGGAATTTCTTCTTACGCTACTTCCCATAGTATAACAATACCGAAGCAGTGAAAGTTACGGAAATATATTATTATTATTATAAATTCTTACTATCTTGATACTCATTGAATGTGGATTTTTATTTGGCGTAGTGGTTCAGAACTCGATCCTTATGCCAAAGATCACTGGTTTGATCCTCAAAAAAATTAAAGATTTGTATGTTATCGTGACATGGGACTGACGAATGAAAATAGTATGTCTGTCCTTTCTCTATTATGTTTTTGAGTAAGAGGGTATAATATGCAATAAGTGTAATTCACAACTTACGCCCGTATTCACAAAGATTACTATTATATTCTCACAGTGCGCGTGGACGCAAATGGTGACACATGAACCAATTAAAGAACTTTATTCAACGGTGTGCGTTCGATTTTCTGCTTGAATTAAGCAAGCATCGGTTGTGAATACGGGCGTTAGTTATTGCGCATTGAATAAAAAAAAATACAGTTACAATAGTTTTTAAGGTGTCACGCGACATTTTACCAAATAACTATACTAAACGGTCAGGGCCATACAAGAAACATTTAAACGATAGCCGTTCGCCAGGTGTCGCTGGCGTATGTTTTAGCTTGACTAATAGTGCTCGCCTGCCTCCTGCAAAACAGTCGACGGCACATCAGACTATACATTTTTGTTCCAAACTCGCTCTTATTTCAACGACATAAGATGTACATATTGTGTTGTTGTCTGCACCTTGCTTCCTGCAAAATAGATGTTGACAGCTCTCTACTAACTCAGTTTTTGTCCGTAATAAAGTCGTCGCAACAAACGGTAAATAACAGTAGTTATGACAGGAGAAAAATTACTGCGATGGATAAAGGGGGCTGGGAGACGCGGAATTTAATTGTGTATTTGATAGATAAATGAATTTATTATTTGATGACGTTTTCTTTGTTTACAAGTGATCATACAGGATGATTTTTGAAATCGTTGCCAAAGGACCCACAGTTTCCTGCCACTTAGGGCGAGCGACGGGGTACCGGGGTCTTTTTAGTGGGTATGCCTCGTCCTTCTGAGCCTGTCCCCGCAGGGTAGGTATGCGATTCAACGCATTTTTACCCGTAAAAAAGGGGTGTTGTGGTGCGGTGCGGCGGTGTGCCCATTGTATGACGGTAGGGTAAGGCTATTGGTCTAATTCCTAGAAATGATAAGCCGCGTCTAGTTTTAACATTCCGTTTTATTGTTTGTAGGTACTCATGGTGCATTTTTTTGGGTATGCAGTGTATATGAACACAATAAGTACATCCTGTTGACCAGAACATATTAAAAACGCCATGTTTCGGCAAGATACTTCATTTGTTTTAGTAAATAGTTTACCTAATCGTAAATGTTAAAAAGACAGACTTATAGAACTCAAATACTACGACGCACAGTGGTGCTACAGCTTTGGTGCCATAGTAACAAATGCTAAGGCGGACGTATTCTGTCAATATACAGCACATTTTTTTGTTGGCCGGCACTTTTGATTTTGGACCAAAAATGTATGAAACGTGGATGATGTCCTTTCCAGGAACGGCTCAGCGTATGATTATGAACAACCCTAATATTACGGGATAAATAAATTCAACGAGGAAAAATCAGCTGTTCCATTTAAAACTAGAGGTTGAGTTGAGGCGATTCAACCCTTATTGTTTTTAAAGACAACCCTATATAAATCTTTTAATAATACCTGTTAAAATGCTTTACAGTGTTTAATGTAGGTACCAGTGTTTCTTATAATTGAAAATAATTTGTTTGAAATAATTTAATAACATTATTTTTTACTTTTCTCAGAACGTAATTTATTTCAGTTGCTGTCTGTCGCTCGGAGTCTTTTAATTTATTGTTTTTAAAACAACGTATAAAGGACTTTATAGTCTCTGTCTTAAAGTTAAATGTTGTGTTTTAATTTTAGCATGCATAGCGCCTCATACCCTTGACACCGTGATGCAGATATGTCATGGGAAGCGAAGGTGCCTGATCGAAGCCAGCGATAGGGTGTTTGGTGCGCCATGCAACTCGTCTACGAGGACCTACTTGAAAGTTATTTACGCTTGTGGTAAGTTAATTTATGTACCTTAGGCTGGGTTACACCATCTGTAACTTTAACAAACGTCAAAAATCTATGCAAAAACACCCGTTATCGTTAAACATATACGGTTAAAGTTAGGTGATGCAACTCAGCCATAATGAATTATTTCGCGGCGTAAAACGCGGTGCCCAAAACACATAACAATTGGTGGCACGTGCAATGGCAACTATAATAGAGAACAATAGTGTCTAGACAAACCTCAAGAGGATTTAAGACACTATTGAAACCAAAGATGTAACGGCTAAATAATGTAATAATAAATAAAAAAACCGACTCCAAAAAACATACACTAAAAAGTNTTGATCGCGTTTTTCTCGAAACTGTTCACGTGTTACTTACTGCGTTTATAAATTGTGCGGCAGCTTGAAGGACTACAAGAAATTCCTTAGCTAAATATAATATTAATCTTTAGTACTTTTACAAATAAAATGTCGCCAAAATACTAATCTCAAGTAATTTTTCAGTGCCGTTAGGTGTTCTCAAGCCGAAGCACGAAAGCAAATTACAAGAAGACGAAATACCGAATGGTAAAAACAAAATGAAAACTGACAATGATAACTTTTTCGACGAAACAGGTAATCAAGCTTAACTGTTCTATAAAATATTTGTATTTTGATAATAAAGTTTATTTTGATTTTGTATTTCCAATGTTTTGAATACAATTTTGTTTTGTTTCATATTCAATATTCAGTTAAGCGTGAAAAAGACTTTTTCCATAAAATTATTTGATTGAAACTATCATGAATTATGTTATTTACTTTTATACGACAAATTAATATAATTATAATACTTCCAATGATTGATACCTTCGAAGTCGGTTCCAAGGTTAAGAAAAACATATGCCGGCACCGATTCATATTATTTTGTCGTAATAAATAAATTAATAACGTAATTATTGATTACTTTTTAGTGCATTTTGAGTTGGTTTTTTAAATTAATTTATTTCTTGCTTATTAGTTGACTTAGACCTCATTGATACCACCACTGAAGGTGAGCAGTACTTTGAAACTATATTTTGCCATGTTAACTTTTTAGTGAATTTTTTTGGAGTCGGTTTTATTTTTTTGTTAACATTATTATTATTTGCTTTTTAGTTGACTTAGACCTCATTGATACCACTAATGAAGGTGAGCAGTATTTTGAAACAATATTTTTCTATGTTAAGTGTAAAATAATCTTCCCTACAAAATACAGGTTAATTAGTAATATGAAAAACGTAATACGCGCCTATAAAATTTGAGTGTCGCCCTCGATTTTCCTAGTTTGTCATCAGATCGTGTCTTGGTGACAATGGGGCCCTATAAACTAATGTGCTGTTTCAAATTAGAATGGGCAGGCGAAAGGTGGGAGCAAATCAACCCAGCCTTGCCGATGCCTGAAGAACCGACGGTCGCTACTACCACCAAAGCCAGTGCGGAAGTGACGACCCAGAAGAATAGGAAGGAATCTGATATAGGTCCAGGTAATCTTTTTTCTTTTAAGCATGACGAGGCAGGTTTGATGAGTTATTTTAAACCAAAAGACGGACGTCTGAAGCTAAGGCCTCTCCTAAGGATTTCTACAGTGACCGGGTCTGCGATGCCCGTATTTAGGTGATTCCTACGACCTTCAATAGAGATCGTAAGTCCACCGAGTGGAAGGAGTAGGACATCATGCCACGGTCATCTAAAGAAGCGTTTATTTTTATTCAGTTTGAACAGTAAGATAAGTATTTACTCGTTAGATAGACATACCTAAGTATGCGCTTTGTAGTTTTTATGCCTTTCGTAATTAAATCACAATTTAACTCAGTTACCACCGAATAATAAATTTGTTATGAGATCAATTTCATTCAAACAAATTAAATCTCGTCCACGATGCATTTCGAATATTAATCATCGAATAAATCATTGTTCGCTTCCAATATTGTATTTAAGCCGTAGGTAATTGAAACATAGTGTTGTACAAGTGTGATTAAAACGGTTAATTACCTGGTTTTAAAATATTGCACACTTATCAGTTTTCGTGATGCGTTAAAACGTTTTGTTGACGATGCAATATTAATGTTATGACACTCCCACAATGCTTTCGCGCGTTGCGGTTTAATGAAACGTGTTTTATATAAGTTTTTCCATGACAATATGCAAATATTGCATGCCTAGATCACATTTCAACATAAAAATAATATGATGCAATAAAAACCATTAAACCATTCTTTTTAAAACCAGTGGTCATGGTCCATAAAAAGTCATATTCGTACTTATTATTTGTAGAGCATCGTTTCATAAAAAATATTTCAGAAAAGAGAAAACTATAACGTAATTTTCTTTCACTCAGTTTCGCTGCGAAATAGCACTAGTAGTACAATTACTTAAGACGTGACAGTATTTATCTTTCTGCTGAGTTCCGTAGTTAATAATACCTATTTTTCCTACAGGATCGTCCCAAACACAAATAAAACAGAAGATATTCATCTACATGGGCATCGGTATTCTAATACTCATAATATTAGTAGCCGCTCTCTTTGGGTTTCGCTACTATTACTACGTTCGGCGAACGTCCGAGCACTCCAAAAACGGGGACATGTTCACTACGGAACCACCGAACGTTTTCAGCGATGGCGCGTCAGATATTGACAATGATATTGACGTCAGCCACATTTCTGGAACCTTCTACGATCCTGTACATCCTGACATGATTCTGTATAGAGACTGTCCAGGGAACAAGGGTTCTATCAGAGCCATGAGGCCCCTCTCAACTATATACCCTTGTTCTGGAGTCAGTATGTATGGAAACGAATACGTGCCTCCACCGAGAGTGATTCAACCCTTGATAGAAGAAGACGAGGGAAGGGTGCGGAGTCCAAAGAGTTTAGGTACCTACTCCAACTCGCAATTATATTATGGGTGACGGCAGGAGCCAGGGGGCAGCGAGGATGCCTCCAGAACGTATTGTTTTTGATCCTGCTGATATATTCTACGTGTAAATATGAGGAGGGGATGAAAGGGTAATTCGTATTGTAAGACAAAGTCTAAATGGGACGAAAAACGAGTTTTTATTTCGAGTGAGCAAAATTGCGGAGATTTTTTGTTAAAAAGTTTTCTTATCTGTGAGTTTTCTATGTGGCCAATGAGCCGTAGCTCAAGCTTGTGAACTTTGCAGACAGAGTGACAGGTGTCAATATACAACTTGATTGATTCGTCGGTTCATTCGCGCCCAATATTGCTTGAGTTTTTTTTATTGTATGTTAATATTGTTAGGCTGTAAGTAGTGGAAATTACAGTGATATAAATATTTAGTTCTTTTCTTTTCCTAAATAAGTAGGTAAAAGATATCAGCTGACTCGAAATAAAAACTGGGTTAAGGATGTGTAAATACGGTCAACTAGGATTGACAATGGATGTGTCTTTGAGCGAATTTTTCTATCTCTATCACTCTAAAGTCGCTGACACAAGAGAGACAGAGATAGTAGAATCGAATCAGTTGTGCAATAGGTTCTGGGGTTACAAAGCACGAATGTGTAAAAATCAGCTGGTAAACATAACTATAAATAATAATATCAATGTATAGTCTACGATTCAAGAAAAATAATAAACTTCCTATTTTCTTTCCTCTATCTCACTAAATTAAATATTGCAAATATTTAGACGCACCTCTATAATGAAATTATTGTCAAAAATAAATATCTACTAGCACGTACGTCATGAATATAACAAGCTGTGATTAATAATACGTTTAAATAATACGCATTTAAGCTATTATACTGTTCAAATGTAATTTGTAATTATAATCTAAGTACATAATATAAAAAACTAATCTGTGAAATCTATGTCATTTAACTTTGGTTTCGTTACTTACTTTAGTAGTACATAATTATGATTTTCATTTATTATGTTTCTGTAATAATCACAAACAATTGTAATCTTTTTGTATTGTTTTTTTAATAAAACATTGCAAAGTTTGTGTTTTATTTTATCCATTCTTCAACGCTATAATAGGAGAACATGGGACAACCAGTTCAAATTAATGCACCGGAAAATTATAATTATCATGGTTTCAAATTAAATTATGAAATCCAAGACTTGTTTTTGGCGGGGCATCTCCCAGAAGACACCGGCTCGTACTAATTTAAGAGGATTCTTCGTAGTCTCACCAAGGCTGATTATTCAATCACCAGATAATTTTAACTGGAGAATAAGTTTGGCACATTGACAGTTTCAGTATAGGATGATTGAAAAATCAGGCCTCAGACAATTTACGAAACAATTCCCTAAAACCTGAGACAAAACGAAACGTGGGGTCTCTAATGCCTGTTTTCACCATCCATCCATAGGGTAAGTGTCCTCTATGGTAACACATAACAGGATTTTTTTTCAAAGAGGTCACTTAATAACTTTAAAAAAAAAAACCGACTTCAAATGCGTGAACACAAAAAAAAACTAAAAATTAAAAATATTGCGTATAAAAAAGTTCATCCCCAATTTTCCACCCTTGGGGGTGAAATATTTTCTTCAAATTCGCATGAAACCACCCTTTTGATAATACCTATTCAACAAAAAAATAATCGTTCAAATTGATTTATAATCGGCGGAGATATTGCGTATAAAAAAGTTCATCCCCAATTTTCCACCCTTGGGGGTTGTTTTTTCTATTATTAAATTTAAATGGGACCACCCTTGAGGTATTACCTATACGCCGAAAAAAGATTTGTTCAAATCGGTTCATAATTGGCGGAGTTATCGCGTAACAAACATAGAAAAAAAAAAAAAACATACGGGTCGAATTGAGAACCTCCTCCTTTTTTGAAGTCGGTTGAAAAAAGGGATTGATGGTGATAGTTTCACGGGGTAGTCGCCGGCATACAAAATACTATTTTTGTGTGACGTGTTATGTCTTGAAAAATCGGTCTATTTTACTTTGATCACCTGGCTTTGATCATCCAGGTGATCAAAGTGGACTCAAGCGACAATTTGGTGTCCTTTGATCACCCATGGATAAGATGACCTGGGTGATCAAAGTGGACTCCAGTTAAATTATTATTTTAGTTTCCTTTGATCACTTATAAATAAATGACACCTCCTCTGAATAGTCACATGTCCAATCGTCGTACTTACTCGTACCTACATAATATTTTGTTTTGTAATATTTTTGATATTTTCTAAACAATGCAACAAACAATTTGGATATGTACTATGGTGACTATTCAGAGGTGTGGTTTATTTATAGGCTATCAAAGGAAACTAAAATAATAATTAAACTGGAGTCCACTTTGATCATCCAGGTCATCTTATCCATGGGTGATCAAAGGACACCAAATTGTCGTTTGGAGTCCACATTGATCACCTGGATTTGATCACCATGGTGATCAAAGTGGACTCCAGTTTATACCGAATAGACCGTTTGTTTATATCACGTGGGGTCTCTTAGTTTTACGGGGTTCGATTGATATTAAAGTCGCCAGCATATAAAATATTATTTTTGTGACCTACTATGTCTTGCAAAATGGCCTCTACTACAAATGAAAAAGATGCTTCATGTGTCGGAGTGTTTAGGAACATAAAAATAATTTAATGAGGGATGTGCATGACTGCGGTCATTAACCCTGGTTGACATGGGTGGGGGTATTAAATTTAACCATAGAGAAATGACAGTCGTTAAATTATATCAGCATACAGACAACAAAATGGCTTGCACTTCCTTCTTTGATAAGGGACTGTGCACATTATCGGGACGGCACGGCAAGGGATTTTTAGACAGGTCGGGAATTTGAATCCTATAAGGATGATGCTGAGAACGAGCATTTTTACTCTTGGATATCTAAGTGGTAAGTGATTGTTTATTTATTTTCATGACGAAAGTTAGATAATTACTGCTGACCTATGGATGAATATTAAAATTTTTATTAATTAAAAGCAAATATAAAATAGCGCGTTAGCTGACAGTTACAGAATCTTAGTTGGGTATTATATATTTGGGTATTATTATCCTATATTGGGTATTAAAAGGTACCCATATTGTTATTTGTATAGGTACATTTATCGATCAATAACGATATGCAATGAACCATAGACAGAGATTGATGTTCAGATTAGGGCATGCAAAAACCGAGCGGTTTGGAAAAACCGGTTTTTTCGGTTTTTATTTTTAAAAACCGAACTAAACCGGTTTTTTCGGGTTTTTCGGGTCGACTGTTTGTAAGTAAATAAAAATGCTGCAAATTATAATAAAAATCATTTTATTTCTTTTATATTCTAGTTTGACAAGATGAAGTTACATGTTTTGAACATAATATTGTGAGATCAATTGAATAGTTTAATTAAAAATCAAATATAAAGAGATCAACAATAGGATACTTCGCTCATTAGCAAAGCAAAACCTTTGGTCAGGACTTCTTGGCGGGAATCTGAAGCGTCATGTTAGCGGTTTTGTTTTATTTCCTCAAATTCGTGTGTGGGCGACTATTAATGTGTAATAATGGTGGATTATTACCCTATCAAACAAAAAAAGAATTTTGAAAATCGGTCCACAATTGACGGAGTAATCGGTGAACATACATAGAAAAAAAAAAACATACATACAGTCGAACATATAACCTCCTCCTTTTTTGAAGTCGGTTAATAAACTGGCATGCATGTATCAGGAAAGCGAAAATGTTTGTCGAAGCATTGCAAGTTGCAATACGTGGAAGAGTTACGTTTTCAAACTTACCAATATACAGGACCGTATCGAGTACCTAATTCTTCGATTCACCGGTACTTGNACATTGCATTACAATAATTGTTTTTATTGATATGATTAAAGAAGCATGCTCTTGTATGAGTTATTAAATTATCTAAAATCGTAGAAGAAAAACCGAAATAACCGAAAAACCCGGATTTATAACTGACAAAAACCGAGTTCCAAATTGTGTCGGTTATCCGGTTTTTCGGTTATCCGGTTAACCGGTTTGCATGCCCTAGTTCAGATTACAAAAGAAATGGCCCAGTATTATGGAATATTCGTAAGAGATGATGGCAATAGGGAGGCAGCTTCATCATCAATAAGTAATTGTATGTTTTGCATGGAATTGAAATAACCTTTAGTAAGTTATTTTCTGTGTCTAATCCAGCTCATATTGCAGAAAGATCTCTTTTAAAAGCAATTAGTGTAAAGACAAGCTTAAGCTATTAGTACTATGTTTAGAGGGTAGGTAGTAGGTATCTTATCCGCTTAAAAATCTGTGATCATAAAAAAGTGTTCGGCGCACCCGTGGTGGACGCCCCCGATTTAAATAAATTTAATATCATATTTTTTTCGGCTTTTGCACTAAGTACAGTGAACGAAAAAAGTTTCACAAGCTAATTATGCATGTTTGACGCTATTTATACAATCCGAGAGCAAAATTTTAACCCAAAACCAGCAGTAGTAAGAAACAAAAAACTTTTGTAGGAATTATTTTCATTTCATTAGATTCATTTTTGTGTTTAATTCTACTGGCCTAATAAATATTTATTCGTTTATAAACATTTTTGTGCCTGACTCTCATAATTACTTCAAATTGAATTTAACTGACCGGGGGCGTCGACCACGGGTGCGTCGAACACTGGGGGACTCGGCCACGGACCCATAAAACATCGCTCGTCAGCAATAGTTGGGAAAAACTCCTTTCCGGCATCGAAAATGTCGCGAGAATGTTAAAAATATAAATTCAAAGGAGAATGTGGATACAACGAGGCTTGTTACATAAGAGGCCGATTCAAATCCAGTTCGCGGGAGCTTCGGGTCGTTAAAGAAAGTTATTTACTGTTATAGGCACCATTTGGTTTTTTAAGATTATCCCGGGACTCGCCCATGAGCGTTCCGTTTGCGTTCCGTAAGCAGCTCTTGTCTTGTTTTGAATCGGCAAATAAAGTGGTTTGTGGTAGTAAGTTATAAGTTTACGTAGTTCAAGAAGAAAATAAAATTTTGATATTTATTTTTATCAACTAGTTTAATATTTTATACAGCTTAGAGGAGGTAGAGGAACATGGGATTAAACACAAATATCAACATGTAGTACCTAAAGTAAATAATATTTATTTTACTATATTATAGTCTTATTTTTTTAATGCATAACAAGGCAGGTATTTGACCACAATCGCACCTGGTGTTAAGTTTTTAATGTTTTTTTATTCTGGCTATTTTTTTTTTCTTTGGCACTTTTTCGATTTTGGTTAAAGTACCTAATAATGTGCTCACAGTTTTTATTGAACTTTGAAAGTTCAGCCCCCCTAGACAAAACGCACTTTTTGATCGAATCGAAAATCGAATCCGTCAAAACTCCATACAAAAAAGGGGCTTTTCGACCACTTTTCGACTGGTTTGCGATTATAATTTGCACTTTGTCTAGACCCACTGAGCTCCAAGGCTATTATGACATTATGACATTAGGAATACCTATCTTTGAAATGATTGACATCGGTATTAGTACTACTTAAGTAAGTTGTCCTACCAAACTTGAAAGACAAAACTCAAAAATGACTACACCAGTAGGTATTATTATCGGAAAGTTGTTTATGGAACTCTAAAAGACAAGAAAAATACCCTTAATGACTCTGACCCTTAATTTTCAAGACGGAATATAAAACCAACAATCGCAGATTACCCTTGTCAAAAGCCGAGCTTTCACAAATAAATCCTTTATTATCTTCCATTCCGTTACCATTCCAACGATACCCTGGCGGCAGTTCCGTTACTTCCGTTGCTTCTGCTTCCGTTATCATTCCCACCGCGTTCGTACACAACTCTAAAGTCATAAGCTTTGTTCGAACTTTCGAAGTTCGGTGACGATCTCGATGCGCGCTCGGATGGAGTTCGCAACTTCCGGTGGAGGTTGTTTTTTTAGCGCTGCGCATATTTTGCTTTAAAGTTCTACCTCTTGCAGCCGGTAACTTATATCGAGTGTTTGAACTGGAACTGTTATAATTA